TGCATCTTCCGAGAGAGGGACTTCCTTTCAGATCGGCCAATATTACACAAAGAATTCATCCAGTGTACATTTTAAATCAGTAAATCTAATATCAAATGAAAACAAATTCTCTAAACATCGGCAATTGGACGGCCTTTCATTTCAAAACGATTTCATATATTTCGGTATTACTGCAATATCTTGAATATTGAATGTCATTAAAAGGAAAATGTTTATTTCTAAAATATGAAGAGTTATTTTTCTATTACATCTGGGGTTGCACAAGCCGCACGAGCCGCCACTGGTTCCACGTATACTAACTAAAAACAAGCACTGGGGTGCATTTGTAGCCCGCTTGGTATTCCCCGTGGCTAATTTTTATTCCATAAAAATTATTTTAAAGATTATACTTTTTGATTTGTAACGAATCATTTCATTCAAATGAATGTGACATTATTGAAACGCATTCAAGTTAAGCATTTGAGTTATCACGTCAGTTTGTATTGTATAAGTGACTGTATGCTTCTAGTGCACTCCAAACGTTAATGTAGTGGCAACGTAGAACGTTAATGTAGTGACAAAGCCTGGGTCAAGAACTTATAAAATCTTACTCTCAAGAGAGACAACAAAAACCATGTATTGCCTGAAAACACAATACAAACTATAATAATATGTTTTCTTAGAGAGGAAGCGGCGGATTCTGCACTTCCTGAACGTTTTTTTTCAGCCCTAGTCGGAAGACGCTCTATGCGCGAGAAACACAGAATGGCAATCATATAAGATATTTCAAGTTTCATGTTCATGAAATGGACATTGTGACATTAAAAAAATAAAAGTATGCATCAATTGCCTAAAACAGGAATGCTCTTAAATGATGTCTTCTGATAAATATTAATTCTACTAAATTTGTCATAACATATTCACGGGGTCAAAATGTGCATGTGCGTTAGTTATTTCCTATTGTGCCTATGTTATGTAATGCAGCAGCAAATCGATTTCGAGATTTCAACGGAAATATACGTTTTAGGGTTCCCAGATACCGAAAAAGTATTTCTTTCGAAAACGTCCGTCTGTCTGTGAACATCACTAGCGCCTAAACCACAGGATTTTCTTCCAAATTGAAGAAACCCCTGTCCATCAGGCTCGAGCCGAAGCTTTGATTTTGAAGAACATTCTTTAAAATGTGGTGGTGCTTTACATGAAGCCCTCCGGACATTTTTAAATTTTTCTTAAAAACGGCTCCAAATTTTTTCTTTAAATTTCCTGTAAGAATAGAGTAAAATTCTTATTATAAAAGTGGTATAGGTCCGATTTTCACGGTTAACTCTGAATTTTCGAAAATTTTTAAAGTATGAATTTTTTCGGTGCCTTCCTGCAACTATAAAATTAAAGATAGGGATTTTTATTTTAAAGGAAATTTGTTGTTCTTTTACTAAGGTCAAATACTTTTTTTTTTGAAAATGAAATTGAAAATGTTAGTAGTTTTCGCGCAATATTTGCAATTTTAAAAAATAATAAGATTTTCTCAATAACAGCTCCAAATTTTCTCTTTAAACTTTTGGTAGAGATAGTACTAAATTCACTCTATAAGATGACATAAATGCCATATTGCTCTATTCTTTTGTTTTCCAAAAAATTAAAAAATGTATTTTTTTTACTTCTCTCACGTTCATATTTACATTAGCGTCAATTTCTTTAATGTATTTATGAGTATCTGCTATCAGTAATGTCAGATTAAGTTTCCCGAAAACTCAACAGTCTTCCGTAAAAATGAGCTCAACATTTCGCATTTTCAGAAACGTTCAAATGCCATTTTTTAAAAAACGGCTCCAATTTTTTCTTCAAACTGTTTAAGATGACAGAATTAATTTCTGTATCTCTCACGTAAATTCACATTTGCAGCGATTTGTTAACACTATTGCATTTGTCTGGAAGTGCTTGAAATGCCGTCAAATGAAGTTTGTCGAAAACTGAATATTCTTTTGTGAAAAAGAGGTTTAAATTTCAAATTTACATTACCGCTTAAATAACATTTTGTTAAAAGCAGATCCATTTTTTTAAATGGCCATTTAAGATGAAGTTCTATTGTTCTTTGATAGTCTTAAAATAATATTTCCGGTCTACTATTAGGATGCCGAAAAATTTCAAAAAAATATGGCGATAATGGCAGCTGGCAAGAGTATGTGGCAAGTCCGAATAGCTAACCAAGACAAATGGTAATAGAAAACGTTATTCTGTAACACCAGTTTGTATCTATGACAATAAATTTATTTATTTTAAAATCGTTACATTTAAGAAAAAAATCGTAAGTTTTGTAGTTGGCAACATGGACGTCAGTATTGTCACATGCAGTGGCGTAACGTCCGGGCCCACGTAAAAGAGAGTGTATTTTTATTACTTTCTCGCACTTATTAACGTAAGAAGAGAAAGTATTGTAAGAAAGTAATGATGTGCCGGAAAACGGCGAATTTTCGGCATAAAAACTCTTTATTGTCGAGCCCTGAGAAGTGAGTAAATCCAGTTACCGTCCACCCGATTTTCTATTAAAAAAATAAATAAAAAAATTGTTATGCCTTATGTTGCAGCCCTTGGACCCTTATCTTCATTTTGAGTGGTACTTTACATGAACCCTCTCCCGGACATATTTATAAAAAATGGTTCGTTTTTTTATTACATTTTGTTGTTGAATTGTGCGTAAGACGTCTAAGAGAGCGGTGTAATATATTTTTCATTGATATCCCAGATTTTTCGAAAATTGCAAAAATACATTTGTAAACTACAAAACAATAGAAAAGATAGAAATATTTGCTTCAGACAAAGTATGTTTTACAAAATGAGCTCTCGAAAAAGGTTATGTACTTTTTTTAACAATCAGACATTTTTGTGTAAATTGCACTTGAAATAAATCGCTATTTTCTCTCTCAAAAGTAGCTCTAAATTTTTTCTTTACATTTTCTACACTTATGTAATAAGGGATGGTAAAAATTATAGTGTTAGTCCTATTTTCGAATATCGCTCGGTTTTTCAAAAATTGAAAAAAATATTTAACTACAAAATTGAGGATACGAGATTTTTGCAGTCTTTCATACAAAGTCTGTTGCACAAAATTACTTTTTAAAAAAGGTTATGTACAATTTTTTGAAAAACGAGAATTTTTGCGTAATGTACGCTTGCAATCTACTATTATATTTTCTCAAAAATCGCTCAATTTTTTGTTTAAATTTTCTCCACATACTAAGGGACGGTAAAAACAATACTAATCCCATTTTCGGGTATTACTGTTGTTTTCCTTCGAAAATTGCAAAAAATAATTCAAAACTACAAAATTGAGGATATTTTTGCCTCAGACAAAGTGTTGTACAAAATTACTTTTTAAAAAGGTCGTTTACAATTTTTTTTGTAAAAGTCAGTAGTTTTTGCGTTGCTTGAAATTAATGAAGCATTATGGGCGTCCCATCGTTGCGAGAAAGTATGCGATGTTGTAGCACTAGTTAAGGGGATGTATTGTTATTTAAGGTACTAATACTACCTGTGTTTGCTATACACTGTTATAAAGGGGGTCTGGATAAAAGTTTTTCAGACGGGCCCGCTCTCCTTTTGTTACGCTACTGGTCAAGTACTTGACATTCGTGCGCACAAACAGCTGTGTTGTATAATACTATCTGGATTGGTTTTCCTACCCTGCCCGACGGATTGCTGAATGTTTGGTTGACGTGTCTAAAACTCCTAACACGTTTGCACCACAAACCGTATTTTATTTATTTACAAATTTATGGTATGAAAAAAAAATATTGAAGATTCCTGTTGTTAATACTCAATGGCCTTACTTAAGTTATTTATTATAGTTGCAATGTGTATGGAAATTTCACCGGTCAATATTAAGGAAATCTAAGAATAAATATTACTGTGCATGTAGAGGGAATGAAGATAAATCACCTTTGTCCAGTGAACAAGGAGTGAGATTTAACCCTGATGGGTAGGGAATTTGTCATGCACAGGTGTTTGGTGGGTAAGTGAAATCTCTGTGGCCTAGGAATGTGACCTGCCCAACAGTGTATGATTTGCCAACCAGCAAGGGGCAAATGACCAGTGTTTAATTTTGTTATATAAAATATCACACCACAATAATTTGCAAAAAGTGATTATCATTGATTTCCCTTCATACCTCAGAAATATGTAACACTTACTCCCAGATATCAGTATAGGAACAGGTGTCTTACCCTCATCCTTTGTTTTAATAGAACCTCAGTTTTCTAAAAGACACAAGTCCCTCATTTGCAGGCTCTGAAAAAAACTTCTTTCCAGATCCCACCAGAACACGAGCATCTATCTCAGACCACTACCATTTTACAGAATACAATTTGAAGGTGTCCTTTCCAAAACAAAAAACACAAGATTTTCATAAGGGTCTGAACAAGATGTAAAAATTCGCAAAGGGAGATGTTCTTCAATCAGAACAATTCTGATAAGATATTGTGTGTGTTGTTTGTTTGTTCTCCTCACTTTCTTTTTCCTTCTATTTACATCTTTTCTTTCTTCGGAGTTCTAAAAATGTGGGATCTTCAGAAAAAATAGCATAGATAGAGTATAATTTAAATGTTTGTGTGTGTATGTGTGAGTTATTCCATTTCTGGACATGTCTCATTTTACACACTGATTCATAGATATTTTCAAATGGTAATAGGGAATATCTGCAGACTACAATTTTATGAAAAATAGAAAGAGTATAGTAATACAGTAGCAAAGTTAAATAAATTTCAGGACAATATGACTCAGAAAAATTTGAACCCAGAATAATGAAAAAGCAGCAAAATTGTCAGGGGAATATGTTTTTCATTAAAAAAAATTCAGAGTTATTGTTCAGTTAAAGAGAAAAATATCTGAAACACAAATTAAGAGGATAAATGAGAAAAGGATCAGGTAATCTTAGAAATTAAAAAAAAAAAAAAAAAAAAAAAAAAAAAAAAAAAAAAAAAAAAAAAAAAAAAAAATAGCCTACAAAAAATAATAACTAACAGGATTAAACATAATGTTTTGTTTTCTATTAACAGTGCTAGTCTACAATGAGGTACAACAATTGCCACCATTCTGTTTTATGATTAAATTACTTCATTTTTGACTCCAGGGCTACAATAGTAGTAATGACAATGTTTATAATATGTACTAAAATACAAATAAACCTATAGAGCATGGCATTTCTGTACAATATACATTCTTTTCATTTCTTTAGAAACTAGCTTCATGAAGTATATACAACAGTATTTACAAATTATTTCACAAGACTCATATTTCATATATAGATATAGATACACACAACTATCTATACCTATACATTCAGAATCATATAGAACCATACAAGATAGCAATTACAATGATTCTAATAATATGATCAATCATAATAATAGATTAAAAAGTCTGCAATGAAAACATTAAAAGTGCATTCAGCAGTATCAAATAATAAAAGAAGGGAAGTCACACAATCTGAATGAAAATTAAAGACACCTACTCCCAATGCAGTACTTTTAAACAAATAAAGCTTACTTAACACTTCAACAATGCAGTCTTTCCTAGCACACACATTAAGAAATTTGTTTCTGAGAAATGTGATTTCTGAGTTTCAGGCAACCTCCTAATAGTAAGCAGCCTCTTCAGAACAAGACGACAGAAGTGAATTTAGCATTAAAAATAGTGCTACAATACTTCAAATGAGAAGAGGGCAAGTGTGTATACATTTATCGTTTAATACAGCTCAATTGAAGTTTTAATCATACAAGATCACTAATTCATAATTCTTTCCTTAATAGTAGTGATAAAAAGAAAACGATTTCATTATTTACATTCTTTTGCTTTGTCACTTCTAATCAGTATAGTAATATTTCTTTGTACATAGTTTATATTTATATATATTTATAATTCTTCAACACGCATAAAAAGGTCCAACAAAGCAAAACGGGATGAAAAACAAGTTTCTTTGGCGGGAGAGAACGTTTATCTCTCGAACTGTCTGCATACACTTGTGACCTAAAGCACACACTATTTACACTATTTGACAATTCAGGATTCATCTGTACAATTGTGGCAATGAATGCATTTTTCAAAATATACTTTCAAGACACAGATCTAGACAAGGGGTGGCAAAACACAAAATAAACACTATTTACATCTTTGTGTTCACCATCTAAAAGTGTGCAATCTCATTCCGAAATTTCTTCCTTGAGCACTACAGTATGAAACGTGGTATAGTTCCCGAGCTGATCGCCATAAATGCACAGCAGGGTACAAACATAATTAATGGGAATGAAATGCATAAAGAAAGTCTGCAACCATATGTACATCTATGATGCAATCCCTGCATATGGGATTACACACAGTAGAATAATATCTTTAGAGTATATTGTAATATTTGTTACGGTGTTGATCAACAACTTTATAAATTAAAATATACACATTAGCAATATTGCAACATACACTAAAGGTTTGAAATAATAAAGATACAACAAAAAACACTCTTCAGAACCACTGAGAATGTTCAAGTCACAATCAAATGAAACTATTGCAGTTATCAATTTGAGTACTATGGTACTTAGGGCATCCACCACTTAAGTACTATATAAAAATGCTTTTAAGCTATATTTTTCAAGTACACAATAATTCCTTTGAAACCATTAAAAGAATAAAAAAAGGGGAAGAAGAAGAAAAATCATTAACCAGAACTGGGAAGGTGGACATCTTCATATTTGTTTTCTTCAACCCGTTTTGTACATCACTCTGCTCATGAGCTGCTAGAAGCCTTGCTTGGGGCCTTGCAAGCCCAAACCAACCCTCCCAAACGGCTGAGCCGTCATTCACTAGTCTACAAATAAACTGAGTAGTATGAAAAGCAACAGTCCACTATGTGTTAGATAATCTACACTCCAAAGACTAGCAAATTATTATTTTATCTTCAACTCTTATCAATTATGTTGGCATTAGCAGAATAAACAAAAGAAAAATACACAACACTGACAAACATTAGCTGGAATGTATAAACTATGGATTAAATAAAGGGTCAATAGCACATGCACCACTGTTGCAGCTGAAAAATGAGCTACTACATCAGAGCATGGCTAACAATGGCTGTAAACTGATGGTAACTCAGCATTATGAAACAATATGAAACAACTACAGTTATTCTGTTTGGTCCCATCAATCATTTCATGGGTATGGTAGTTAAACATTTATTGTCCCACTGTTCTATATCTGGTTTTGATAGTAATGAAAGGACCAGAAACCATTAGCAGAGGCAAAGAGATTTTGAGTAGGTCTCATAACCTGAAGAAGATTTTTTTGAGTAACAGCCAGAGGAAAGCATCACCTCACACTCAATCAGCAGATAACTGCACTAGTCCTCAGAATACTGCTCACATGTCACCATCAACACTGGACAGTTTCACCAAAGCCAATATACTTCGTTCCTCTTTTCTTAATAATTACTATGTATGCACACAGACTCACAAGTAGTTTTCATATGAATACAATGAAGCTTTGATATGAATCGTGTTTTGAAATAACGAACAAGTAGTACAGACGTATACTTAATCACTCAGTAAAATATAACAAAATGTACAGCATACAACATAACATTCTAGTTTATCTCAATCACTCTAAAAACAAGATTTTTAAAAACTCTAGCGCTTTGCCATACGCTCTAAACACAAATGCACACTTTCTGTGTAAACACTGGTATCACACACACAACACATCATACTATAAGTTAAATTTGCTACATGATGAATGAAACGATATTAAAATAAATCTCTCTTTACATTCCACAATAATGAAAAGTTCATTTAGCATTTCATTTATAACAAAAGAGATAAAATGTATCACAAAAATGCAGACCATTAAATACATCCCATCTTAATCAATTACACTTCGATACCCATTGCAATTAAACATTGAAAACCATAAAAATTTCTCCTGAAACATTCTGAGTGATACCTTACAGATTTAACATTTTCATTTTTACAAGTTACCACTTTGCAGGTCACTGTCACCACGTTTATATAAAGAGAAAATTGTACTGGCCACATTGTTCTGACTAACAATGATTTTTTCTTTAACACTGCATTTTTAGAATAGAACAAAGAATGAAAACAGAATGCACAAACCATAAATTAAATAAGCTAACGAATAAATTTGTAAACAAAACAGTTAATATCAGTCTCAGAAACTAAGATTACGCAACATGAATGAAAGATATAAAAATATTAATATTCTCACAAGTTGTAATCTAAACATCAAATTTAATATTATGTGGGAAACATTATAGGGGGGAGAATGCAGAAAAGAAGAGAAGATTAAGTGGTTTTAGATTAATTTCATACTGATAAGCTGTAATACATACAACTAACACCATGAATTAATTTGATGTAACAAATGAGAACTTGTGAGGAATTAGAAAGAATGTGCACACTAAGACAAAATAACAAATAAGTTCACATCAGTCAGTATGATTAAAGTTTGAGTGCAGTATAGACTATATACACTATTATATTTTTGACAATGATATAGTTATAAATATTACATACTACTATAGCATGTAATACTGCAAATATACATTAAAACAGTGATAAAAGTACATAGGTTGTGTAACATCAATTTCGAAACTCAAACATGCAGTTGTACACAAAAAACTGATTTCTACACATCTACTAGTTTTCTAAATAATATCCCCAAAATATATAAACATACATTAAAACAATTTACCTACAAAGCCAAAGTCAGTGATCGAAAACAAAACTGTGAGAACAACCACAAATAATTTCAATTTTCAACAAGATAATATAAAGCAAGAAGGTAAAACTATAATGCAGAAATATCAATTTAACAGAACTATTTTTCAAAAATAAAAGACAACACAACCTATGCACATAGAGTGAGTATCTCTGCAGCAAGTCAATTGTGTTCATGCAGAGGTTGAACTTCTTGAATTACTCACAGATACAGTATGACTGCATGCACAACAAGTAAGTGCAATTGTCAACCAATGCACACACAAAGAATACAAATACACAGGGACTGAATGGCCTAAGGCAACCAAACATCAGCAACAAACATGTTAAGTTGCAGCATAAATCAAGAGGAAGTTGATAATTTCAATGAGGAGTTTCTCTTTGCCTGCTTTTAAAGAATTTCATAAGCTATTAACAGTATTCCTGGCACCCATTTCACTGGCACCTTCATCAGTCAACATCGCAGTCAATCGGACTAATGTCCAAGGGTCATTTGCCGTCTCTGGATGATCGACGCCTCTTCATCTGAACATTTTCAGGTTCTGAAACTGAACACAACATGGTCTTGTTTCCTGTTACTCATATTTCTTAAAGATATTGTGAAACCCCATTTTTACTTTCCGAGAGAGGAAAAAATAGCACTACATTAATGGCGAAAGAAAAAAAGTTTACCTCCATATTCTAGTAACTGGCTATGGTTTTCAAATACAGCAAACTCACTGTTAACCATAACTAATTCAATGAATCAAGAAAAAAAATCATTGAAACGAAAATTATTGTAAAATTAGTTCTTATTGAGACTAAGATGAAATTGAAGGAGGGCATCAAGAGTAGACCTACACGAGACCCTCATTTCTGGAAACTAATCTACTACCAATGTTCTATTGAGCCTTTGGCTTTTATTGCAATTAATTCCTGAACTACAATACTAATGTTTTTGAAATGCTTTAATATGAGTTCAAGTTATGTTGTTAAAAATCACTCTCAAGGATTTATCTCGCGTAACTTCCATTGATGACTTAATTGAGTGTCTACTGTATGTATACTACAGTCTATAAATTACTTATAATCACTGAGTAAAATTGCACTTCCAGTAATAAAAGTCACACAAATGACATGAGTTTGAAGTATTTCAACTATAATAATGACAATGAAAGTGATAATTAAGACACTGGAAGCCAATCAATTTAATATTAATTAATTGTTAGAACAAACATTTTTAGAAAATCAAAATGTACAATTACACTATTTGCAGAATGTAATTCAATTTCAATTTTTAATCCTCCTTGTTGAAATACTAGCATTCGTTCCTCTGGAAAATAAGGAAAATAAATAGGGGGTTTCGTTGCATTGATGAAAATTGACATTTAACTGTGATTAAATTCAGTTATTGGAATATAGTTTAATGTAATTTTTGAACGATCCTCCAGGTTTTCATGTAACAACTGGAAATTTTTTTATGTGCGATTTTGTCAGGAAAGAGATTCTTGTGCTATTTATGGAGCATTGCCGCATTTCACAAACAATTCTGGTGATTTTGATAGAGTTTTCACTGTTTGTGCCAAACACATATTTGATACCAGGGCCCCCGAAAATGAAACAATAGACGGTACAAAATTTCTATGAGCAAAATAACTAATGGTATGAAATAAATATGAAGCATGCAAGACAAGAAAAAAGAACAAATCAAGCTTAATCAATCTACAAACAAATGCATATACTAAAAAGTATTTAATCAAGGCATTTAATATTGAAAATGATGCATTTTAATAAAATTTATCAAAACTGATTTTTTGAAGTAATGCACTCAATTAATTCTCCCAACTAAAAAAGAGGCACACCATCTCAAAACTATAGTATTCCTGCTTTATTTACTACGGCAAACAAAATGTTACACTAGAATCTGTTGTCACACAGAACAAATTAATACCAATGCTTGATGTCAATGGGCTGCTTTTGTTTATTTACTTCCTTTAAAAAAGTGTTTGATTATTAATAATATTACTTCAATAATTTACAGATGCGTAAAAATGTGAAAGGTACAATATTAATTATGTTAACGGATTTTCATAAAATGCATCACCAATTTACACACGGAAGCAAGATTAAATATAGTTCTATAAAAACCCACACCAAACTCAATGTGCAAGTGAAGCAAAAATATACGTGAATGGCCCCACAGGTAGCAGAATATCTAGAAGAATGTTTTTGGCACATGCATACCCACACACATGCTATTATTTTGCTACTGCTGAAAACTTATCAACATTATTCAGAGTTCAAAGAAGGTTCAACATTCAAGGGAATTATTATTATAATAATTTTTTTAATTTCAAACATTCTATAAACGGCATAAATTAAAGTTAAGTAAGAAATCATAATTTCCTTACAGCAAGAAATACAAAGTACAATAATATTCGTTCATTCAAGAAATGTTGACAAGATAAATTCAGCAGATTCTTTTGGATGAAGTCTAAAGCAATTATTTCATGGTTGTGCAGTTGACAGAAAAATAGGTAATTAAGAGGGATCACACAACATTATATTGAATAATGAACATACACACTAGCAATGTTTTGCATGTTTGCTGTTTAGTAAAATAATTAAGCCACAGAACTCCTTAACATGTTGTATATGCACACCCATTAAGTGATAAACAATGCAGAGTCCTTCATGTTTTTTTAAAAAATTGCAATACATAAAAAAACAAAACCAACACATTCATCTGGTTGTATAAAAAATTTACGCAATCTAAATACTTTGGAACAGGGACCGTAACCTGCCAATGGATTACTTCTTTTATTGCATTAATTAATTAAGAGAATAGAAAAATTTTAATGTTAAAAATTTCACAATTATTTCTTATGCATATTTATGCTAAAGGACTTTTATTCAGGCAAAAGTTAACTGACAGGTCATAGTGTCTGTCCTATTTTTTATGGCAGTGGAAACGATTCTCAGAAGGACCCTACATCTTGAGGCTCTGTTATCACAGCAACACTGGTGACAGTGAAGAGCACAGTTAACCCACTGAGTCATTTGCAGTCAACAAGGGAGAGTCTCACCTGAAGCCCCACTGGCAGCTGCAGCACCACTGCGAGTCTTGCGGCGTGTATTGACCTCATCATGCGCACCAGCAGCAGCACCTGCTGATGGGACGCCTCCAACTTGCCGAGTAACAACCCCTCTTGTACTGATAGTAGTGCTGGCACCTGCTTTATTTGGAGGAGGCGGTGAGCCACGAGCAGGGGTCTTTGAACCCACACCAAGAGTCTGGCGCACAGAGCGGCGCATTGCTGTGGGAGTGGCTTGGCCTTCACGATGGAGTCCCAATGGTGAACTGGTTTGCTTCAGATGACTGGCAGCACGAGTGTTGTTCAAGCGGCTTGGTCCCAAACTGCTCCTATTGTTCAATTATCTAATTAGTATCAAGTTGATTTTGGAAGGTTTTCTTACAGCTGTGTTTCTATAAATTAATTTATCTGGTGTTGCCAGAAATTGCACAATTATGAAAAATAAAATTGTCACAATGTGGTTTAAACAAACAAAAAAGTACATGGCAATCTGAAAACATGACATATTGAAACATTCTTGTATTGATCATATATTAAATTCTATTTAAGTAACTTTTATAAAAATGTATTTATATTAGTTTTGGTAGATTGATACTTCTTTCACTGTGTAGAGGAGAGTTGGTTACAATACACTTCAACATTGTAAAATAACCATGAATTTAAAATTTGGTAAATAAGCATTGCCTTCTAGTTTCAAATAGTATGCAATTAGTATATAATGTTAAGCTTTATTGCACGAGTGCATGTTTTGAAAATGAGCGACATTAGAATCAAGTTGTTTGTATGAATGCAATAATACAACATTATAAACAAGTTGCAGGTGCTATTTTTTTACCAGCATAATAAATTTATGAGAGACTCAAACTTAATTTTGCAACACAACTTCTTGTGCATCTCAGGTACATCTATCTGACAAAACAGTGGTTGGCTGTTCCATTTACTGCTGCGATAGTCAGAATGTGTGATGACACAATCATTCGTGCCGTAAAATGCTAATACCTCACCTTTGTGCTGTAAACTGCCAATTTATGAATGAATTTCCTCATTTATTTACTTTTACAAAATAATTTTAACAACTAGGGATATTTAACCCTCTGACATCGTAGATTTTGTGTTCCAAGGAGAGCATTTTACTGTGCTCATGGTGGCGACTACCCGCATAAACATGCAAGAATGGTTGATTGCTGCCCCTTGTAACCCCACTCACTCAATATGCAAAACCAAATTGTGAACCATGGAAATTATCAAATTGTAATGATGTCATGGCAATTGCACCACAATAGCAATCCAATTACATTTTAATATTTTATTGCTTATGGTGACATTCTATATAAAACATTTTTGGGGATAAAAACCCTTTAACCACATGTAATAATTTGCAATCTCCCCCACCCCCCACCCCCAGGTTTTCATCTTCTTTAAGTTTTTAAAATTTACAATACAATCTCAATGATGAAGGAAATTATGTTATAGATTATCATAGTTGAATATAATACTAATTTTCCAAAGATCAGAAATAACATTTGGTGCTTTAATATTTCTCAATTTTTACTTTCTCGTATTCATAGTTATCCATATATCTGTTCGACTGTTGACAATGTAATAGATAACTGTTAATGGGATTTTCTCCAAAATGGATACTCCCCTATCATTCTGGTTGATGTGACCTGTGAATTTGAAACAAAACTATAAATGTTTGAAGGTACCTTTCATGAAACCCTTATGACATTTTAAGAATTTCCTCAAATTGTAAATTATTGAAGACATTTGAATGCAAATATTGGATTTATGAAAATCACAGAAATTTATGCATTTAAAGTAATTCAGGAACTCAAAATAAGCAAGGGCCCTGGTCCTTTATCGTTAACGGAATTTAATTATTAACGCTAACTTGAAATTCATGTTGCTTATTTTCCCAGGTCTTCTTCCTAGCAATGTGGAAGAAGAGCTTTGTATCACCAATTCATAAATCTGGTGACTGCTCAAACACTTATAATTATAGACCTTCTTTGCTACCAAATTCAGTCCATTATTTATTTCAATCTTCACCAAAAAACTGACACTGCCTTTATCTTGCATGGACAAAATGGATTAAGAAATAAAATTCTCCAATTTGGTTGTTGTTCAAAATTAGAAGAAATCACCCAGATCGATACATCTTATTGAGATTTTGGTTTGGCATTTCATATGATAAACCAATAAATATGAATTGAAACATCAAATTATATCAATAATTATGGCCCTTTTTGAAAAAGTTGTTTCGTTACCAGACAGAATACTCACAAAGTGTAAGATATAATTTAGAGTTAAAACCTCAAGAGCTCTCCATTATTTCTCCTATTCTTTATAAACAACATCAAGTTTTGCTTTCTACAATGTTCTAGATTATTTTTTGCAATTAAAATCCATAAAAAGAAGTCAAGTTACTCAGAGATTGTCAGATTCAAACAGATTCTTTACATTAACTAGATTTTTTGGTGAAAGAAAAACAAATTGTTGCCTAATGTTCTAAACTGTAAAATAACAAGATTTACCTGAAAAAACGACTACCTCTATCTTAAATTACATTTCTTATGGTCAAATTTCAGAAAGTGTGACAGTTTGAAAGCAATAATTAATTCTTATATAAATCAATTCATAATGCAATTCATTGAATTAACCTTTTTCTAAATTTATTTGGAAAATTCTTCAAAGAGATCCAAGAGGTTGTTCTGAGTAAATTATTATATAGCGACTGCCAAAACTAATTTGTAACATTCCACACCCATGTAGATTAGCCAAGTTGCCTATTATAAACTCAGTAAATGCACCAAAAGATATTCAAAAATGCTTCTAAAACCAAATAATTCAATGGTAAAATGGCATTTAATTATCAGGTAATATGTATTACCAATTGTGTAAAATAGCGTGATGGTTTGTACAATAATCGTTACTACAAATAAAAACTTGTAAGCATGTGCCGACTCTGCATGGGCTCTTGGGCTGATAATAACCTGAAAGAAATGGATTCTCAGAATTATCATATCTCACTCAAGTAGGTAGCCAATGTCAATGCTGCATTAAGAATTGAAGAGAAATCTTGGTTTTATCTTGACGATTCATTATGTCCTTTATTAAATTGCTATATGTTTAAAAGCTTTTTGTATTTTGGACTTAAGCCTGCAGTTATCAATAAATAATTAAAACTTTACAGATGAGGACAAAAAGACAAACTATATGAAGGTAAATATATCAGCCTACACATAAAATTCCAATAAATACAGTAAAATCCATCTAAATCAAAAAATGTAAGAGCCGAAAACCTGCCCTAACTGAAAAATTTCTACTCCTCATGAAATTAAATTGGATTTTACACAGCATAAAATGGAACCTGTCCAACACAGAAAGGTAAAACACAGAAAAAACTTTATAACATATAATTCTGGTGAATTTATTGCAATTGGCAGAGACACAAGATATTCTTAAAGAAATAAATACATTTGCAAGTCTGTTTTAAATTCTGTCCCTGCGGCACGCAAGCGACACACATCAGGGCAGCTACACAGTGAAAGAGAAGGGCTTCAGTTGTGAGCGCAGACTTCGACCTTGGAATTACTTGTCTCTAAGGCATAAGCCTTAGGGGAATTCTTTCTGAGAGTGGGAAAATGTATAGGGGCATAGGGTCTATTCACATGCCTGCCTGCCACTTGTTGAGAATCCCTTGGCCAGAGACGCATGGCTTAAGGCCATGGGAGGGTATCAGAAAGACAGCACTCTGAGCTATGATGCACTGTGTTTTGAAAGAGACAGCAAGCAGTTAGGACTCTACGTCTGCAGGTACTAGGCATTGAGGTAGTTTTTATGAGTTTCACTTCCATTTTAATAATGGTAGTAAAAAACCATAAACTTCAACCTTAGATGAAAAGGTCACACATCCAGAAGCATGCAAAATTCAGCAGCTGTCAATGAAGAATGTTTCATTTATTGGCGATTTCTTCCACATCACTAAAGTCATAAAACGGACAACTCTGCATTAAATGGAAACCTCCCTAAATTGGAATGGAATTTTGTTTTGCCCGATTCATTTCGACATTCATTTTTTTACTGTAGTATAAAAAGAATCTCACCTTACATAGGTGAACCATTTGTATATATTGTAAACAAATGTCTTGCTGAAGATTGTTTGAAAAAAATTGAAATAATATCAGTATTTAAGTCGGAAGATAAATTCAAAAGAAAACAAATTATTGGCCCATATCACTGATATCAAACTTTGCTACGAACTACAAAAGTTTTGAAGAATAGAACATCAAACTTTACTCCTAACACTAAATTATACATAAATTTCAATTAGGATTTCACAAAAGTACAGAAGATGCATTAATGTAAAGGACACATCAAATTTGCAGTGCAGTAATAAAAACGTTCCTCGCATATCAGTTTTCTTGGACTTGGGAAAAGCTTTTGATACAGTGAACCATAATATTTTATTAATTAAATTATATAACTATGGATTTAGAGGTATCACGCTTAAATTGATAGAAAGCTATCTTACTGATAGAAACAAGTAGAACTTAAAAGAGTCAATGAATCCAATAGTAGCTAGTTGGAAGTGACTTTTAGGGTTCCCCAGGGAACCATCCAGGGCCCTTGATTTTTCAAATTGTATATAAATGATCTATTTGAAGTTCTACCAAAAGGTGAAATCATTTCTTTCGCAGATGATACTAGCCAGCAGTAAAAAATCTGTCTCAAACTAAACTGAATGAATTGCGAAATGGTTGAGTGCAAATTATAAATATAATGAACCACTCTAAATATAATGAAAATAATTTTTGTAAATTTGGTAGTTATGTAGATAGTTCACCATTGGATATTGCGTAACAACTCAACTCTAACTTATATAGGGATACTGGAACATGTGATTGGCACATCCTCATATAGTTAGAGAGCAATATACCAATTACTAGGCTAAATAATTGGGCATAATTATTGATTGTACTTTGAAATGGAGGCAACATACTCCTTATACTACCAAAAAATTACTTTCTGATCTGTCTTTCATAAACTAAACTTTAGATGAAAATTAGGATGGGAAAAAGAAAGAAAGAAAAAACAACCCTGGATGGATACATACACAAGTTAAAGATCCTACAAAAAGGAATTGGATCCCCATGTAAGTCGATGTCTCCCAGCGCCTGCCAGTCTGTTAGTCCGTTACTCAAGAGTTAGACCCCCTCTGATGCACCATTCAGTCAAGTGACGTGTCAGTTGAAGTGTCTCGGTCTGCTGGTGGTGAACTGCCCATTTTCTGTATCCTTCTAGAATTCTAATGATTATTTGCATATAAAAAAAAGTAGATAGAAGATACAGACAGAAATAATTAAATAGGAGATATGGACAAAGACATTTACATAGTCTTTAGAACAGCCAAAATAGGTTGCAAAAGAAGAGCAGATGATAATTAAACTCTGTGATTTCTCCCTGGTCCTGGCATCTCGCAATACCATGAAAAATGGAACTATTCAGAACTCTTCAGACAGCGTTTAGTTGCAATGGGTTCACAGAACAGGGATTCACTAAGAAAAATTGAAATTGTGGGAATGAAAGTGCCAATAACTTTTTATTGGAGAAAGGGGAGGGGGAGGGGACAGGACGAATAGTTAATTTAATTTCTCTAGATGAAACAAATTGATTGGCTGTGTTGTAGAAAACTCTGGAAGAATTCTAGTCAAATGGGTAGATTTGGTGGTTGCAAAGCACATATAACAAGAGTGAATTTCTATACTGCCTTTCCATAATAATACATTGCAACTTCATTCATCAGATAATTAAATATAATGTAATAACTAAATCTAAACCTAATTATATATGATTAAATGTAAATTAGAGAAAGTATCAAAGAAATAAAGGGCCAAAACTTGTTTTATAAAGGGAAATTAATTGGCATCATATCAAAAGATGATACTGCTTAGACAGCGTACTCAGGAGTGTTTTATGAAGATCCCCCTTACACGGCATACACATTGTCCACAAAAATTTAGACAGATTTCTGCAATTCAAGTTTTGTTAAAACTCTACTTATACATGGTACATATATGACTCTTTAATTAGGAAAATCAGGGGGAAATCATCTCGAATGAATGGCTCTGAAATGAAATGCAATACAAAATGGATGTAAATTGTGGGTGATATTTAGGTGTTGTACAAGAATCTAGGAGCTTCTCAGTTCACCTCTCCACTTTCAGAACACTACTAACCAGAACAGACTTCAAACAATGCTAATGAATTTATAGAATGCAGCAGAGGCTACAAACAACACAGAGATAATTGTGTGCTACAAAAGAGAACGTTCTTTGGTGACAGATCAAAGACCACAAAAGGACCTAAAAAGAAAACAATCTAGTATGGTCTATTCAGCCCTGTAGCTTATTTTTTTGACACGTTATTACACAGGTGGGCATGCTAAATAAATGGTGGAAGGGGTTGCAACTTCTCCACAGCTCCCCTCAGCTCAATGATGTCAGTTGGCAAACTGACTTCCCTGGCCAAAACTGGACAAAAAAGCCTCTCTGGACAAAACCACCCTGGCAGGCCTTACAAGGCTGTAGTGCCAGAGTACATCTCAAGTGAAGATTACAATGGAGTAAAAACAACAATGATGATGAATAAATGATAGCACAGGCAACAAGACTTTCTCTGGCAACAAGAAAATTTCCAATTTTATAGAGACTGTATAGTGACGGAGCCTCTGAGAGGGTGAGGGGAACTCAAGAGAGCTGATGAGAGATGACAGGAGCTGACGAGAGGGAGCCAGGAGCCACAGAAGCGACAGAAAGAGGAAAGGGGAAGAGGGAGAGAAGAGAGGTAAGGTGGATGGAGACAATGAGACAAAGAGAGGGGAAGGAAATGTGAGGGGGTAAGATGAAGAGGATGAGAAAGAGGGAGAGGGAGAGAAAGATTGAGAGGGAGAGAAAGATCGAGAGGGAGAGAAAGATCGAGAGGGAGAGGAAGAGAGAGAGGGAGAGAAAGAGAAAAAGAGAGAGGGAGAGAAAGAGAAGGAGAGAAAGAGAGAGAAGGAGAGAAAGGGAGAGAAAGAGAGAGAGAAAGAGAATGTGAGGGAGGAGAAAAAGTGGACACGAGAGAGAAAGGAAGAGGGCGAAGGGAAGCAAAGGAAGAGCCTTAGAGTGAGTAAGGAGGAAATAAAAGGAGAGGAAAAGAAGCAGGGGAGAGATGATGTGAAGGAGGGGAAGAGAAGAGAAAGAAACATGTCACAAGAGGCATAATCTCAAATAGTAATACAACACAAGAAATTGCTTATGTTTTCTGTCATTGACTAAAAAATGGGACGCAGCAAATTCTTGTACAAGAAAACATCCTAAACTACTTATGCTACAAAAGTACATACTTTTTTGCATTGGTAATGATTATGTGACCTTCCAATGTCAATTTTTCTCCACTTTAACTTATTTCAGCCATCACTTGTAAAAAGCATTACCTACCACTGTCAATGCGATGTGAAAAACTAATACAACAATACAAGTTCCACAATCTCAAATAGTGTCCCACACAGAGAGAAATGTAATCTCAAAACAATAGGAAGTCTCTGAATTTCATACAACTGAGTCACAATGTTTCCATTGTGTTGAGACCTGATACGTCATGAATGAAGAAGTGGATAAATTCACTTGTTAAATTTAGAAAAAAATAAAAAATCCTCAAACACATAGTGTAGCCAGAATCCATCATTTGTGGGTCCTTGATACCAAAAAATTGATCGACGGAACATCTCACCATTTGAGAACGCTAGCGGCGAAACTGTTCAGCACATTTTTTCCAAAATTGATATTACCCAATCGATTTGGCTGATGTAGCGATTCCTTAAATACTATTCAAACCAGTTCCTATTTAGGAAGTAATTTTATTCAGAAGAAATGAGTTCCACTTCAACCATCTCACAAACAACCTCAGTCAAGATTAATTTCAAAATAACTTCTTTGATTCAATTTACTCAAACTGAAAATTTTCTTGAATTGTCACGAAGTACAATAATAAAATATTAATCAAAAAATCTTGTTAAATAGAGTATTGCAATACTATCAAAATAATTTATAAATCAAATTAGTGGTGCTAAAACAGCATGTACTTTCTCTCCGTTAGTAATGGTTATGTAAACTGATTACACCATTAAGTCTCCCAAAATAATTTTTTGTAAAACTTAAAATAATATACGAATTTTAACTTGCGTACCATCCAGCTGCATAAATTGGGAGCGGGGAACTGAGGGCTAGCAATCTTTATTTCAAATAGGTTTTAAATAATTTCTAAAAGATTAATTAGTAAAAATAACAAAAGCTCCAATGTAAGAAACGAATGAAGCAATATGAATTACTGTACACATTCTATCATACAGTGCATCCATCAAAACACCGCAAATTATGATAAAGAAGCTTAGTATTTTCAGAGTGGGCAAATAACTTCGATGCTGATTACTCCAAAAATACTGTTAATTTCGAAAATTTGTACATGGCGTTATTTGCTGAATATATTTCATGAAAAAAAATTAAAATAATTATATCATCATGATTGTAGTTGTAGGAAGACACCGAAACATTTTTGAATTTTTTCATCAAAAAATTAGGGTTTTCAACCAACATGAGACCAGCACCATTTTCTTAAATGTCCTTCAAACTATCCATCAACACATATTCTTCAAAAATAATGGAGACGTTTTTGAGAAAAAATGTTTAATCAAAAATTAAATATTGCCTATATTTCACACATCACACAAAAAACACTTAAATTTTTCAAAAAGTTCAACATGACTTTATTTCAAAATCTATCTTTAAGGAACAGATTTTATAAATGGAAAAATCTCTATCTTTAATATTTTAGTTGTAGAAAGATGCGGAAAAAAGTTTTGAACATTTTCAATTTTTGTAAAATCAAATGCAGTTTTTGATGAACATGAGATCTGTGCCATTATCTCAATCATTCTTCAGACTATCCAACAAGAAAATTTAATCAAATGGAGCCATTTTTTTGAAAATATTGAAAATGTCCCGTGTGCTTCAAGTAAAGAATCTCCGAAAATGAAAATTTCAAATTCAAGGACTCGTGGCATCAGCCAAATCAATTGGGCAATATCAATTTCGGAGAAAATCAGTTGTTCACACAGGGATGGGCAGAGACATATAGCCGTCAATTGATTTTTGCATTCCGGTTACTTCACCACTTGTACGAGGATTTTTTTCTAAATTTAGCAACTGGATTTATCCAGTTTTTCGTTACCGGAACCCTGTAAGAAGTGTTTTTTTTTCTTCTGAAAACTTGCTGTTTTTTCGTGCAGAATTACGCAACTTTCTCTTCTTAAGAAGTTTCTTCTTAAGCTCAAGAAAGTAAAAATTGAATACGTACATTTGTTTTCATTGAAAAATTGAATTCATACATATATTATTGTATTCCTCTTTTATTTTGTAGTATACTTTTGGGACAATGGGAAGTTATGAAATGAACGTTAAAAATGAATTTTGAACATTCACAGAAGATTTTTGATTCACCATACACAAACAAAACTCTTATATTATCTTTAAATAAATTACTTAAAGCAAACCTGAAAAGTAGTTGTTCACTTCTAATTGCATACAGTTAAAAAGATGATAAATGTACATGACATTGTTCTTTTAAAGACAGAAATAGTGTATCAAAAAAAATGTACTTTTTAAGATGCAATGAAAAGAAAAAATAACTTACTTAATATCATCTTCCTTCATTTTATTATTAGCACGTCCTTTATGAAGAGGTGTTCCTCGCTCCTCATATCCAGCATGACCTTTTGTCTTGCCAGCAATTTCAATTAGAGGTTCATCGTCTGAAGATTCCACATCCACCAGAAGCACCGATGCCCCAGAAGCTGTAAGCAATACAGGATTCATCATGTAACATTTTCATAATCATAATCATCATAAATTTCTGGTTACGTTGTTCAACAATGGCCCTCAAACATTTCTCAACCTTTCAACCCCATCCCCTGGAAGACAAGTATATTTGAAGTAAATATGGAAAATGAGGACAAATCAATGTTACAAAACCAATAACAAACAGCCAGTAAGGTAAACTGAAAAGTTGAGTACAGAATTATTGCATTCTCAATGAAATGAAAAACATACACAATCAATTTTTCAAATCTTATTTTTCACATTTTCATCCACACATTTTATGCAAACTTTCAGGGAATGGAAATCTTTATACCTTAAATTCAGTAATCTTTTTTTTTTTGAATGTATGGCATAGTATAACAAAAAATTACACTCAAAACTCATTCATATTTATCCGTTTAATCTCACCAAACATGGGTTGTTATCACTGCAAAGAATGTTAATCAAAATAATTTGAAACAAATTTTATGGCATGTTTTTTTAAATTCCAATTGAGATATTTTGTCAATTGCAAGAGAAATTATGACTGAAGGATAAAAAAAAATACATTTTAAGAATAAACATCGTAAATGAGGGGGAAATACTTTGCATTAGAACAACCAATATAGGGAAATTCACATACCCACGTTGATGAGATGCTGAGGAAATCAATGTTTTTACTAAAAAAATATTATGTATTCAATTTAATTTTTTTCAATATTTCATGTTCTAGAAGTAGTATGCTATACGTTGGCTGATGAAAAGTAAAAGTAAAATCATGAATTCAATTTAGTTTTTAATGTCACATTAACAGTTTCAGTCCTAAGCCTTTACAAGCATGCTAATTCCAGTATCCTGGCAATTTTGAAGCATTTTAGAGAATATTTACCAAGTAATAAATTAGAAATAGTTACATGAATATCATGGCAAATAAAAACCAACTTACTTAACCAGGAAAAAAGAAATAATGACTTGGGATGTTTAAAGAAACTTACTTATTATTAATTTTAATACAACCCATTTATTCCCTTTGTTAGAAATAAAAATTCCACAAACTAAATATAATATTGAAACAATTTATACATAAAAATGGAGGTTTCTGGAGTTGGAGTCAATATATCTGACTGTTGAGAATCCCTAGGCACAGACACAAACCTTTCTGTGGGTTCCTCTGGGTTAATTGCAAAGAAGGGGATTGCGCATGGGATAGATACGAGATAGAACATGCTATAGATTTAGTATGTTTCTGTGTAAAAATAAAGGATAATATATTCTGAAAATAATTTGAATACATAAAGAAACACGAGCCTGGTAATTTTTTTCCCAGTACACAAAGACCAGTTTTGTTGTTGGTGACAGAATATTGTATACATGATACCCGAGTTATACTAGAGTTCTGTCAGTCCATTGGGATTATAACTGGAGCTAGAACCATTCTCAGGCATAGAACTGAAAGTGTTAAATCAACACTCTGAATATATCTTCTTTAAACTACCATACCAAATCATTCAGTGCCAATATCTGTCATTGTTTTTGATTGCTTGTATTTAATTTGAAATAAAATATGAAAGCACATGCACGTTTGCATCTTGAATGTCAAAACTAACCTTTTCTTTTCGTCTTCTCTATAATTAAACCCAGTAAACACAGAAACATTTTTTTGAGCTCACCTTTCCTGGCTTTGTGCACGCCTCTCCGATGCTCTGCAGCAGGGGTGAGTCCTCCCTGAGGCGTGGCGACATGGTCGCCACCCGTGGGCGACGCCGTCGCGCCGTCCTCCCCGGCCTGCCGGAGGCCGCCTAACGCGGCGCCGGGTCGCTTCGGGGTGGTCTCCTCGACGCCCATGCAGTAGCGCATCAACTCGTTGGCGTTCTCGTAGCACTTGCGCTTGCCGCCGCGCGGGGTGCCTGCGGCCGCGCCCGAGCCCGAGCCCGCGCCGCCTCCGGCGCCAGCGCTAGCGCCACGGCCCGCCCCGCCGCCACCGGCTCCCACGGGCGCCTCCTCGGCGGCGCCGCTCGACGCCGCGCTGCTCTCCGACTCGTGGCGCTTGCGCTTGCCGCGCGTGCCCAGAGCGCCCGCTGCCGCGCCCGTGGGGCTGAGCTTGGAGCCGGTGGCGGCGCCGCGCGGGCTCGCCTTCGCCACCAGGGGCGACGCCGAGCGCTCGTCCTTGGCGACGCCGTGCGGCGAGCTGCGCGGGGTGCCGCGCAGCGACGACGACGCCGACGACACGTCCGGGCTCCCGCCGTGCCGCTGGTGGTCGGACGCGAGCCGTGACCGCGTGTTCCGCGTGCTCAGCCCGCGCTTGCTCTCCGCGTCGGACGGGATCTCGATCAACAGCTGCTCCAGGAGCGACTTATGCGGCTTGCTGCCGCCCGAGCCGGACCCGGCGCCGGTGGAGGAGCCGCGCGTACCGTACGGGTGGTCTTCGCCGCCCAACCCCTCCAAGAAGGCGCTGTCCAGCCCGTCCTCGAGGGCTGCGTCGTCACCGCCCAGACGACCGTCCAGATCTTGCTTTCGGCGTCGCTTGCGGCGGGTTTCTTCGCGGCGCCTGGAAGCCGTCACCAACGCTTCCGTCAAATCATCCGCGAGAAGGTCGTCGTCGTCCAGGACGGGCGAAGGCGTCTCCTCCCGGTGTTTCTCGGGGTTGGAGTACGTGTACAACGGCGGCGTGATGCGAATCGGCTGCGGATCTTCGAGAGCGGGCGAGCCCAGGGCCGGCCCAGGTGGAGAGTGTGGCGGCGACATCAAAGCGCCAGATGTCCCGGTCTTGCCTTTCGAGTCATCCTCTTCCGAAGGCTTGCCACCGTCCGCCTCCGAGCCCGCGTTCGCTACCGACGGTTGCAAGCTTGCCGTCGCAGCGCCCGCTTCCGCGTTCCTGGCCTCTGCGACCGGCGGAGACGCGATGCGCGGAGACGTAGTAACTGGCGGAGTCGTGACGCTCGAGGAGGCGGGGACAGTCGAGGAGGGAACAGAGTGAGCAGAAGAGGCGGATGATATGGGAGGTGTGGTGGGGGAAGGGTATATACTTGACGACACGCTAACGGAGGTGATAGAGGTGGAAATAGGAACAGGCTCTTCTCTGGCGGAAACGTTCGCTTCCGTGGGCGATGGAGTGCGCGAGGCGGATGCTTTGACCGGTGATTGGAGCTTCTCCGTCGGCGGCGAGGGGGACTTGGTGGGAAAGGCTCTATCTGACGGCGGTGGCGGAGCTGGCGGCGATGTAACAGTCATTGGAGGGGGATTAGGAGATCTTTTTGGCCCGTCTTCAGGAAGAGCACTAGAAGCGGAGGAGCCTTCGGTGGATGCAACTGTTTTCGCTGACGTGCTGGTCGCCGAGGGCAACGACGTTACAGACGTCGGCGTCGTTGATACACACGCCACACTACGGTGTATCTCCGCATTTAAGTCGGACACGACGTCGTCCGCCACATCGTTACATCTCGCAACTGATGTTGGAACCGAGGTCGGAGCTGACGTTGCAACCGATGCGAGTCCCGAGGTCGGCGAAGTCGCTGTCGTCGTCGCTACTGATGCGGCTCCGCGCGACGAAACGTCGGTGGTGGTGAGTGGTGGTTGTGTTATGGAGGTGGTGATGGTTGTTGTTGATGTCGGCGTGGGCTTCCGTTCGCGGACTGCCCCGCCGCGCTGCTGGCGGCCGCGTCAACCGCCGCCGGGGAGCGTTGAAGAAGGCACTGCGGTAAGTTTCTTGCTGCGTCGGCAAGCCGGCGGCAAGCACGGTTCGCTGTCTTTTTCGTCTTTCCGACAGGGACCTCCCCTTGGTTGGGCTCTTTTCGGAGAGCGCGTCCATTGACCTCGATGCCCGAATCCTCGCCTTGCGTGTTGCCCTGCTCTCCCGGACACCCGCGGGGCTCTCCACGCCGCCCGCGCGCGCTACCGGCCCGCCCCCCGCGCCACCCCCGCCACCGCCCCGGGAGGCGTCTGCTCGCGCGTCGACGTCGCCGCGGACCACGCCCAGACCGCGGGACTAAGTCTCGGGCGAGTCGCGTTCCGAAGAGCCCTCCGCGTCGTGGGCGCGGGCGCCTTGGGGAGGTAGTCTGCGACCGCGGAGGGTTCCGACGCACCACTGACCGTCGAGGAACCGACGGTCGACGGGACGACGTTGGCGGCGGACTCGGCCTTGGGATCGTGTCCAAGGGACGACTCGTTACCTTTCACACTTCTGTTCGCGGCGGCACTCGCGTTCACACTCACACTCGCGTTCGTCCCCGATCCTGCGTCGTTCTCCAGAAGGCGTTGCTTCACATTCGCTTCAGACATGTCCAACTCCCCTATGGGGAGCACCGGGGAGCTGCGGGGAGGGGGTGCGGCCGCCGGCGGCGGGCGCCTCTCGGCCCCCACTCGACCCGCCCCAGGCCCCGCCGTCGCGCTGCTCGACACTTGTATCCGCCCCACTGTTATCACGTTCCGAGACACTTTTCGATCGTCCGCCTTGTCGCCGACGGCGCCCGGGGTCTTCTTATTAACAAGGCCACGTTTCGTCGCGTCATGGTTCGCGTATTCACGGTGATGGTGCGGTTTCTTGACGCAGTTCTCGAGAACCGACTTGGCGACGGCCTGCAGGGCCGCCGCGTTGTCGGCGCGCGAATGAAGCTGGGTCTTGTCACCCACCACGCAGTTGGGGCCGCCACCGCCGGCGGCCGCAGCGGCCGCCGCCGCCAGGGCCTTCCGCTGCGCCGACAGGAACTCGCTCATCTTGGCGCCCGCCGCCGCGCGCTTCGCCGCCGCCGCCTGCCGCGCCAGCGCCAGGTCCTCCTCGCGGGCGCCGCCCGACGCCTTCGGGTGGTGCGGCCCGTGGTGGTGGTGATGGTGCGGCGGCGCCTGCTTGCTCGGGCTGGTGAGCGGCGACGGGTGCGCTGCGTGGTGCTGCGGATGCGACGGCTGCAGCTGCTTGCTCGACGTCGCCCCGCCCAGGAGAGGGCCTTGAGGCTCGTGGGAGTCGCCCGGCGCGTGGACCTTCGCCTTCACAGCTAAAGATGCGCCCTGAGAATCTTTAAACCCGACAAACAAATTAAAATCTAATTACTCATGCAAAAAATACTTAATGTACAGTGTTGAAACACCTCTGGTGTTTCAACATGTGTTGAAACACCTCTGGTCATATTATTCTGACAAGTGAAAGCATAGTAACTTCAGTATAAAGTAACTTGAAAATAGAGTAAATTCTGATTATTAACACTACTATTGATTAAAATAAACTTAACACCAGTTACAACAAACTCTGGGGGGGGGGGGGGCTGGATAATTTTGTTGAATCGCGATGGATATAAATGGAGTACAAATAACTTAGAAGGAATTAACAGAGCAATTACTATGAATTAAATTAACTATTAGATAAAAATTACAGATCTACAATTTTAAATTACGAACGAATACTAGCAGCAACACCTTTTTATTTTTTTCCCTTTTCCAATGGAAAATATTTTGAAAACTCAATGTGTCATGACTAACAGGATAATTAATGTTCTTGGATGTATGCAAATAATAAACTTGTCTGTATATGAAAGTAAACTGTCACACTGCCGACTTCGGTTGATAAATGTTTGCTTAAATGGAAATAGTTATAACACGTTATTTATTCATTATAAATACTATTACTACGATTCTCCCCAACTCTGCAAGGACTGATGCAAATCTAAAACAACTCAATAAGTTAGTTATATGAAATACCGAAAGTCGGAAAGGGAACACTGAAGAAAAAGCAATTTACAAAGAACATTGAAATCAATGAATTATTTATGAAACTAGTCCAGTATGGGACCATATACTTGTTCTTAGAAGACGAATGAACTCTCCTAGAAACCATACAATTCCCGAAAGATGTAGAAAGTGCGAGATGCAAGGTGGCGAACAGCTATAATATTATATATGTATATATATATACACACACACACACACACACACACACACACACACACATACATACATACACACTCAGATTTAATTAATTTTGCACTTGACGTAAATCAGTCGTACACAGTTTCATCCAATCGGGAGCTTGAACGTCCCCATAGTGACATCAATGTAGCGACATATACGTTTCCGAATGAATAAATCCGCTACAGCTGGTTTATGTCAAGTGCACGACTAAATAAATCATACTATACGCATTAGTGCTGGTCTGTTAAAAGTTCTAACTTCAGAAACAAATTTGATATTGAATTTTGGAAAGAAGTCTCAAATGTAGGTCTAGAAACAGCAAGAGTACACCGAGTAAAAGCACAGTTTACCAGTTGCTGTTAAAATACATGCCCTAATGATACTTTCATTACATTCAACAGCAATTCGTATAGTATATCGGAACTTTTTAACGTTCATAAAAACAGACGAAAGTAACTACGAAGCGATTACCGAATAGGAAGAAAAAATCTAAGAAACATTAAAAGCACCTCGATCTTTGCCCAATGATATTCCGTGTTCCAGTAGTCCTAAGTTGAATGGAAAATATATTATTTGAAAACACAGTTTAAACTAATAGTGCTGTAACAGCAAGTAATTTCACGCATTATTGGTAACTTTTGCAACTGTCGAAAATTTCGATGTTCAACAAAAACGAAACTTGCGCCGTTTTATAAGCATATCTGCTCTAATCCAAAGAAAAAAAAATGAACCGGTTTTAAGAAAACATTTTTAATTTCATTTAATTGCTTCGATTCAAGCAAAAATTACGCGAAAATTATTTATATTTTGAAAGTTGTAAGTCAATTGTTTTTTTTAATTAATTCATTACGGAAAAAATCTATACAAATAAACTGTCGTTTTGCAATGTTAGTTTTTGATGATTTCCGAAAGTCGATCTATGTAATTATTACAAACAACCTTTGAGCTAAAAGAGAAACAATTTCTAGAAAAAATGAAGCTGTCTTTTTTTTTTTTATTTATTAGAAAATGACAGTTAAAAAATGCCTACTAACTTTCACGCAAAATGATGGGAAAACTACTCACATTTTCGAAAATGTGTACATCATATTTTCTAAAGACTAGTCTTTGAAGAACTAATTAAGTGAAAAATGTCTAACTTAAATATTGTAGTTGTAGGAAAATACCCAAATGGATTGAACTTTTTCCAATTTTGAAAAAATTCTGAGTTCAACGAAAAAGAGTAAAAAACCTAGAACCAATTTTGACAAAATTTTCAAATCCAAATATTCGTTTCAAATTCGAAGGTCCTCAAGTACGGGTACATCGAACGGGAAGTACCTATTTTGGAGAATCTGACAATGATACTAATTGCAGTTTGCGTCATGAATATCGCTACCATCTTTCTTGTCATTGTGAGTGGGTACTTCACCCTTTCGATCTCAACAAACGCGCTTTCGGTGCGCGAACCGACGTTCACCGACACAGAAGCAACGTCGATGCACGTTAGTCGCAGTCCTTAGAACTGTTAGGTAGCAATGTTACAATATCGTCATTATAACATATGCCCAAACCCTACAATGTTTCAATTTAAGAAGACGAAAATATCTAATTTCTGGACACATTGTATTCTACTGCATATCACAATGAACTGACTCGTTTGATGAAGCAGAAACTAATCTTTGAGAAAACAATAACGTACGTATATAAATTACTTCATTACCATTAATAATGGTACAAGTGGGGCAAAATTGTTAACCTGAAATAAAAGTAATATATTTAAAAAAAATTTAACAAGTTCTTTATTTGGCAATGTTTTTATTGTTCTGATGTTAAGGCTGTATAAATAAAATTGACGTTACAGACTGATTTAAAGATCATATACTTTAATATCTCGTATGGTGTCTAACGTGATAAACATTTAATTGTTTAGACACTTTTTGTCAGTTCAGGCCTTTCTCATGAACGGCTAATCCAATTTTGATGAAGTTTTTACTCAGAGGTGGCGTGTTGTGTCGGGCATATTTCAGGCCACTTCTGGAACGTTAATTTTTTGCATCTATGTAAGGAAGAGTGTTTGTTTCTTATACAAAACGTACGGGTTTATTTTGACACTAATGAAATTGTCTAACAATCTTCAAAACAGGAGAATAATAAGTGAACATGAAATTTCGAAAATTGGGAATAATGGGAAATCTGATGTTCCAGGAGTGAAGAAAAAGTGAATTAGTTCTGAATGCACAGAAAAGTCGTACCAAATGCATTTTCAATCATTCCAACAGCGCAATTGGGCTTAATTGAATGTCAAAATTGTACCTAGAAGTTTGCCGGGACAATGCTTTATTGTATCTGCCCATAACGTTCGTAGCAAACATGATTGCGTAGGCGAGGCGGGGCGGATCCAGGCAGGGAGGAGGGGGAAGGTCAACAGGAGGAAAACGGGACGGTGCAGGGCAGACTTGACTGGACTGGTAAGCGCAGGGGAGGGGAGGTGAGGGGAGGGAGCAGATACACTATACATAATATTCATTTCTATTCCTCTAACAGAGTATCATTAATAAATGCTAAGACAAAGTGTGATAATTCAGCAAGTTGTAATGTATATTCAGACCATCAGTGAGATTTTTAGTAGTACATTTGCCGGTCATGCCATTATAAACGATTAAAAATTTCGTATCTGTCTAAACCCTCTCAATTACTTTATAATGTTCATATTCATTCATGAGTGTGAATTTTACATTAATTCGCCTAGCCAACGTTACTTTTAAAGTAGGTACACTAACAAAAATATTTGTCTATCTAATACTTGGTTAATTTACCCATCACAAATCACAAACACAGTACATTAAATACATAATAAACCGGTATTTTATCTTTTTAACCCACCGGTCCGTTATTGCGATTTCAGGTTGAAAGTTTCCAATTATTTAGGACAATAAAATATAAACAAAATATACAAATATATTTATTGTCCTAAATAATTGAAAACATTCGACCTATAAAATTACAACATTAAAAGATCCTTTTACAATTTGCAGGGCCTCTAGTACGGTTAAGTCGACCGGGCAACGTCCATTTTGAAGAAAATTCTGTGACGTATTTTGTATCATATAATCCCCAAAACTTGATTTTGAAAATATCGACACCGATGTTGGCAAAGTAATATTACTTTCTCTCAAAGACCTGTTGTTTGATTCTCGGTCGGGGCAAAAATGAATTGGGCGCTTTCCTTGCAATGTCCGAGTATCGGTTTCCGCATGACGATGAGAAAGCTCACTTCTCAGTTTGAGAAGATCAGAATACAGCGTAGGGATGATGGCTATGTGAGAACCACACGTACCCCTTAACACAAGGCCGCTGCTGGTAGGCCACCTCGTAAAGAGGCGATTGTGCCGAAATTACTTTCTCTATACTATGTTTCATATTAGCATAAAGGAATATAAACATTTTGTATACATCGACTTACTGGTCGATTATCCGGTGTTGGATATTTATCACTAACGTAAGCAGCTATGCCCGCTCACCTACTCCAGCACCGCATTATCCGGCCACAATGCCGACGGAGCGGGTAGAATACTTTCTAGTAATATTACGTGATGCAACCCAACTTGGGGAATCATTTCTTTTTATCGCGAATCCCCTTTTCTCTGATTTTAAAAAAGTTAGTAAAAAACTGAGAGCAAGTTCTAATGTAATTAGAGTTCCTAAAATTCATCGTTGTTTAAAAGATAAGGTTTTAAAATCGAATTTTTATTTAAAAAATGTTTTGATATAAAATGGATACTATCAATTAAATTACATATTTATATTATTATAGAACCTTTTGGATTTTAATTTATTCAATTGTTTCATGAAGTCTTATACTATTATTTAGGAATATGTATACCACAATTATTACTAAAAATACTTTTTTGACAACTAAACATTTAAATTTTGGTCACAACTTTAGACATGTCAAATGATTCAGTGGTTATCTTAGATGCTCAATATTCTTTAGTAGTTTCTTTCATATATTTACAATAAGATTTAATATTCAAGTTTTGGAATATAACCAAAACAATATAAAATATTTATTTTCTATGTTAAAATTACAGCATATTTAAATTTTATTCATTTATATTAATTTATGAAACATTTACGTATTTCATATTCGTGAAATTACACATTTATGGTTAAAATATTAGGGAATATCATTGGGCAACATTAGGTGAACAAGTTAAACAAGGATAATGCATTCTTGTGCTCACTGTTAATAAATTAGTTCATTTTTTTATTATTTAAAACAATGGCATGAAAAAGGCTTAGTTCTGAAAATTCTGAGGAAGAGGAGGAAAAAAGTTTTTGTTTTTTTTAATGCATGTTAAAAGACTTAATTGGTTCAATTTTCTTTAAATTTCAGATAACGAAAAGAAAGTTGTTATTTAACAATAATTGAGACATCAAGAAGCCAAAAGGGACAATTGAACTTATAAAAAAATAAGAACATACAAAACACTTGAGGAAATCATCGTGAACTTGTAATTTATTTCAAATTAAATTCTAAGCCAAATATATTTACCTGTGAGGCTGAGTCCACCTTCATCAGGACCATTTGGCCTTCTGGGCTTCCTCTCCTCTCCTGCTGTGGTGCCTAAAGATGAGATCGGGAGGTCTCCATTTTCATCTACAGTCATTCCAACCCGATGCAACACATCTGCACTATTACTTCCTCTGACATCCAGGGATTCACCAGTTCTCCGATTAGGATTTCCACTGCTCACACCACTTCCACTGCTCGAAAGGCCAGACACACCATCCTTTCTTTTCACTGAGGAATCAATATGTAGTTTACTGTCACTTAACGAATCACTCTTTAATACTCCCTCTGGTTTGCCTAAGGCCCGCCACTTTGCGTGTGAACTATCCATTATCCTCCCCCCAGTTAATAAAGATTGTTCTCTATGATGGGAGTTTTCAGGATTATGAGACCGTTTTCTGGACTCTTTCCGTTTAGTTTTCCCACCACCAACACCAATTTTATGGCTACCCACACTTCGTTCTGTAGCAGGCAAGCCCTCCAACCTGTCTGTAGTTTCCATGGAATGAACTACAGAAAACTCTGAGGGATCTGAAGAATATCCCTTTATGAGTGAAGTATCAGTCAGGGGAGAGATCTTGTTTCTAGAGGGAGGTCCTGGTGAAGGTTGCTCATCTCCAATTCGTGATTTCAATGGCACATCATCTAAATCATGATCACGACGCTTTGTCCTTGGCTTCCCTAAGCTTTCACCAGAACCACCACCAACACCACCACCACTCCCCAAACCTACTCTCCCCACTCCTCCTATCACTGCCTTTTCAAATGATGGATCACTCTTATATAATGATTTCACTGACACTTTAGCACTGCTTGGCAGAGAAGTTCCAGCATTTGCAGACACAAAAGGTGACACTGAACCAGCTGAACCGGGTTTCTTGATACGGACAACAGGTGAACTTGTACTAGAATTTGTAACATCTGCATTTGATTTCTTGAATCGCATCCCAGAGGAAGAGGAAGAGGATGAAGAGGTTGAAGATGTGGAGGATGCCATCACACTCTCAACACTCGGACTGGATATCAAAGCTGGTTTTTTGATCATCATCGGAGAAACCGATGACAAACTAATACTTTCATGACTTGAAGCACTAGGAGTTTTCTTCAAACGCATTACACCAGAAGGATTAGCATGATTAACCCCCTCAGCCACTGATTTTTTCATCTTTATTACTGATGAGCCCAACCCACCGGTTCCACCCTCTACACTTCCACTTGCACCCACCACCTTCTTCAGTTTCATGACAGAAGCTGTCCCAACACCATCCACAACCGACCCTCCAGTTGCACTATCCCGAATTTTGGATGAGGAACGATTTATCTTATTGGAGGACGACCGCTTACTAGAAGAGACCTTTGCTGGAGTAAGTGCCCCCGAAGTCCCACCAGTGTTACCACTCCCACCACCACTACTTCCACCTCCACTGTTGTTAAACACTTCTTTATTCTGCCACTTTTTGCTCTCCTTGCGTCCACTCACTACAACAGCAGCATTCCTACCGCGCAAGGAAATATGCAATGGAGGGACACGTGGTTCTTCTCCTGCACTTAGACCACATGCACCACCACTACCTGACACAGACACATGACTTAATTGATTGCCACTACTTCCCAACCCCATGAACATCCTATTACCACTTGGCATTGAACCAGCACTAGGCAGGTTATTTCCACTGCTCCCAGCACCACTGCCACCACTGCCACTGCGACCACTTTCTCCTTTTTTTGCACTCTGCACATTAACAAAAGAAACATCCACTTTGTAAGCAGGTTCACTTTTCTCCAATTTCAAACGCAATTTGATCTTCTCTCCAGGACCACCATGAGCAGGAGCTGGACTATGAGCAGTGTCTCTGGGCAATTTTAGTCGATGATGCCGAACTGTTGAAGATGCATCACTGCCAGTGGACCTAACAGTTGCTTCAGAGTCTGACTGATCTGTTGTTGTTGTGTCCGCTCGTCGGGATATAGTGCTACTTATATCATCATCATCATCTGAAAACATGGAATTCGAGCGATCATTTAATGGTGATGAGAAATAGAAATCTTCATTAACGCTCGGCTCCATCCCTGGACCAGCAGATTCAGGTTCACTATCCGAACTACTTTCACTGGGCATGGGCTCCAGGTGACCTGTGAGGGGATTGATAAGGAACTGGCGACGCTTTCCTGTGGAAGTCAGAGCATCTGGTGAGATTGGAGGAGGAGGCTGGTGCGGTGGTGAAACAGGAGGAGACATTGGCCTGCTTGCATTACTGCCTGAAGATGCGGATTGTAGAGTTGTCTGCAGTTGACTAGAGTCTTTTTCAGACCCCTCCAGATTTGCTGCAGTTTTAACTTGCTGGGACAGCAACAGAGATGGTTGTGGTTGTTGTTGTGGCTGTAGCTGTTGTGGTGCTTGATGCTGCTGTTGTTGTTGCTGTTGATGCTGCAGTTGTTGCTGCTGGACATTAAAGTTATGTTGTAACACCCTCTGCTGTGGTGGTTGCTGTTGTTGTGGTGCTGTTTGTTGCTGTTGTGCCTGCTGTTGTTGTGGTTGCTGCTGACTCAAACTCAGAGCTGCAGAATGGTGTTGAGATGTTGGTGTCTGAGCACCAGAGTATCCAGGCACTTGATTCTGTCGAGGCCACGCCCCTGTACCACTGGCTGCACTCAATGACCCAGGTTGTGGCTGAGGCAAACGGACAACCATTTTATTTGGATTGTTGGCACTGTTAACAGCTTGGCCATGGTTACTCAAACGAGCATCAGGTGCACCACCTATCATACCTGTGCTCATTCTATTGAACTCTGGCCCAACACTTGGTACTGGAACAGAGTTCTGCACATAATTCATTTTGATTGGTTGGGCAGAAGAGGAAGGAAGGTCTTTGTTCACAGGAGCCATCAGCCGTTGGTGCTGTTGCTGATGCAGCTGTGGCTGTGGTTGTTGCTGTGGTGGAAACCTAGTTGGCTGCAACTGAGGTCCTCGTGGATATGGAGGAGGTGGGTTTGCTGTTGGCCCTTGTGAAAGGCTAGGTCCTGGCCCTGGTCCTATAGGTTGCACAGACTGATGCTGGAGTTGATGCTGATGTGGGGACTGCTGCTGCTGCGCCAATAGTTGTGGCCGCTGCTGTGGTGGCACCACTCCACCACGAGCCCCTAAAACACCTCCCAGGCCAGAAATCATAGGATTTCCGGTACTAGGTGGAATCCTTTGATCAGCCATGACTGGGCCAGCCAATATTCTTGGCTGCTGCTGCTGTGGGTGCTGTTGCTGTTGCTGCTGTTGTTGCTGCTGCTGAAGGCGCAAACCAGGATTTGGAACCAACATATCCCGTGATGGCTGAATCCCTGGCTTGCCACCCAATGATGGAACACTCACCGATGGCATAACTCCAGAAGAATTGAAATTTGCCATATCCTGTTGTTGATGCGGCTGTTGTACTGCATACTTCTGGGGGCCAGGCGTTGGGCTTGGGGGAGGTGGCTGCAATCTTGGATGGTTCGATGGGGCAGCTGCAACTGGTCCACTATTCCCAAGAAGTGGTTGAGATGGTACAGTAGTAGGAGCAGAAGATATAGGTGAAGGACTTGTGCTTGGTAATGAACCAGTAGGGCTGGAAGCAACCCCGAGTGAGAGATGCAAATTTGTGTCCACTGGCAGCCCACTTGGAGGGGATGGTGAAGGTGTCATGTTCCCAATGTTGGTGTACGTAGGGTGAGCCAATTTTCCACCTGAAACAGGAGCATCTAGCATACCTGGTGACGTTCTGTCTGGTGTGCCATCAATTCCTGGTCGTCTTCGAACAGGGATCTTTTTCTGAGGAGCTCTTATTCTACCAGGTTTTTCAGGCGCCCCTTGTGGTGGTAACATTTTACTGGGTGCTACTGCTCCTGCATCATTTTGCAACAAGTTCACCAGCAATGGACTAGATAATGCCACATTTGCTGGTGATCCAGATATTGGAATCTGACAGTTAGGACCTTGAGGCAACCTTTGGGGAGCAGGAGCAGGTTTAAATGATTGGACAGGGCTCGGTTGGCTCCCAGGCACTGCAGAAGGCTGAGGTGGAGGTTGTAAGGCATTGCTTGCAGCACTAGAAGAGCCTGGGTAAGGTGGAGGGGGAGGAGGAGTGGCAAAATTATGATGACTAAATGTAGTTGACCCAGAAGCAGAGGTAACACTAGAAGGATTTGGATGTACCAAATGGTTAGAAGAATTGGCATGATGAGTTTCCCGATTCTGCATCGTATGAGCAGCATGGGTCATACTGGCAAATGGAAAAGGCCCATGGTAGTTGTGAGGGTGTTGAGGTGTCCTTCCAGCAGTAACAGCAGTTACAGAGTTTGTTGGACTCCCAACAGAGATGGCAGCAGGGGTCGGTGTCCCTGTTGTCACCATGGCAGATGGATTTGCCATCACAGTTGTTCCTGTTGTTGTCTTACTTGATGACGGAAAAGGTGGAATAGGGTCACCGTCTACTGGTGCAACAACATTTGGACTGCGAAACTGTGGTTCGGATTTGCTGGAACTTGCTGGCATTGAACCAACAGTGTGAGCAATGATTTGTGCCACACTGCGCAACCCACTCACAGCCGCGTTGGATGAAGCAGCAACTGACGCAGTTGCAGTACTTTCTACGGTGATACCCCCAACAGATGGCATCACACCACTGGGACCAGGTGCACTGTTGTCTGTAGGTGCTGTTTGTAGAACGATTTCTTGACTTTCGCCTCCAAATCGTCCAGCTATTCTTAAAGATATAACCTGCAATGAATAGAACAAGCATACGTAAATATAATGATCAATGTCGCATCAGTTGTTTTACTTCTACTGTTACTGAATATGTTTCTGAACAAAACATCAACAAAACAACAACTACAGTAAAAATATTTACACAGTTGAAAATAATTAAATATTTTTCGTTCAAATTACATTGAATGCCAATTTCTTTAAGTACAATTACAACTTTTATATTCTTAATTCTAATAATAATAATAATAATAATAATAATAATAATAATAATAATAATAATAATGATTAATATAAAATAAACAAGTGACGGTATTAGAAATGACAAAATCACAAAAATCTATTGTTGCATATTTTTTAAAATTTTAATTCAATTTCATACCCACCATTACATGTAATTCAATTTACATTCAGAATAAAATTTATTTAATTTTAGCATAAGTATTTTAGACTTGCAGCATTCCTTTTAGAAGTTCTGAATCCCTCATGAACTCACGATTATAGTATCTTAGCTTCACGTCTCAATATACCGTTGTTGAAATCTTGGAGATGTGATGTATTTGCGTAAATTTTAAAGTGGTACTATTTATTGTTCACTTTTGCTGAATCTATTGAAGACCTCAAATTTTTACTCAGAAGTTTCTTAAAGATTGATACACAGCTAACAACCCTATTCACAGAATGTGTATAACTGCTAATAAATCTGATATAAATTTGTCGAGTGATGTAGCTTTCAGCAATGACATGAAGAGAAAATTTAAGTTGGAATGATATCTTACAATTGTAATTCATGTATTTTATGATTGTCTTTATTTTCTTTTTATTCCTATAATTTTCAATGTAGTACTTAATTCTTTTGTTTTGTATATTGCATTATCACAAAATGTGTGTTGTACTTGAAGTTAGTATCTTCTTTATATTCCTAGTCCCGTAACTTTTCTTGTAGTGCTCTAGTCTATTCGTTTGGTTTCCATAATCACATATATATTTATGTAATACGAACTGCACTTGATGTGATTGTGAATGTATTTTGAGTAATTGTGACCTGTGACCAAGATGTAATGTGAGTTACCAGTTCTTTACTTGGGCAAATTGGACATTCAATGCAAGTTTGCACAAATATTACTTTATAATTGATTTAGTTACATTTACATTACAGTACATAATAACCCCATATAAATATTATCAAAGAACAAGATTGGTTCCAGCAGTATAAAGAACTATGGTGCGATATAGAGGACAAAGGAGACATTCAAGAAATTACATATTTACAAAATTACATATCGGAAAATATAGATCCTATAAGTATGCAAGAATTTGCAAAGCTGCAGAAATTGACAATATGAATATCGGACTATTGAATTATGGTGGCCCTACTTTGATATCGAGACTGTTCTTCAGTAATCTATGCTGGAGCTATTGTCAAATACCAGAAGAGTAGAAAGTGGCTATTGTAAAACCCATTTTTATAAGAGGTGATAGATCAGTCTGTGAAAATTAGGAGTAAGTTAGTGAACTGCTGATTATAAAGTATTCCGAAAGACTGAAACCAATAAGCTGATACCATCATCAGTGAACAACAAAACTAATATACAAAACGTTGATGATCTTCAGATAACGTATTTACACTCAAAATAGTGATAGAAAGGAGAGAATACTATCTTAAAACACATTTATTGAATATGTGAAAGCATTTGACAAAGTTGGACGACCACTGCTATGGGAAATTTTAATAAAGAAGGGGATACTTTAGCATCTCATCCAAGTACTGTAAGAGCCTGTATGCTCTAACAAGAATATGTATTGACACTGGTTTCAAAATCGGCAAAACGTTTCTGACAATAAACCTTGGAGTACAACAGGGTTGTAGCTTATCAGCACCACTGTTTAATCTATACATAGAAGAAATGCTGAATGAATGGAACTGTTATGCTTTTTGTGGTCTTGAGATTGCAGAAAACTATTTTATAATTTCCATGCAGACAGTCCTGATTGCTAAAAAGAAGATGAATTTCACCTTAATGTCTTCACACTCGGCAAAAAAGGTAGATATTATAACTGTGAAATATCCACAGCTAAACTCAATATTATGGCATTTTGCAGGAAGGAACCAGTAAGATCTACGATAGTGGTAGATAACCAGGTTCTGAATAAAGTACGCAATTTTAATTATATAGGAAACTATGTATCATACAACTACGACAGACACATAGGAAAGAAACTCTTATGGTTCCAGCTAAAGTGTGGAACCATAAGAAGAACCCTTGATAAGAAAACCCAAAAAGAAACTGTTGAAATTATATAAGACAATGACAAATACCAACCCTCCTATACAGAAGTGAATACTGGGTTTTGAAATAAAGAGAAATGAGCAGAATACAGTCATCAGAGATGAAGTTTCTGAGAGCAGTAAAAGAGTGTACGAAAGCTGCTCATAAAAGAAATCAAGATAATCGAAAAAAGCGAAAAGTTGTATCAGTCCTCGATCAAATACGGAGTATAAAGAAATTGGACCCAACATCTATATAGAATGAAGGAGCAGCGACTGCCTCAAAAGGCTTGGAAATATTTTCCGCTTGGAAAACAAGCTCCCAGAAGACCAAGAAAATAGTGAACCATCCAAGAGGAAAAGGCTGTTAGGCCTAGAACGTGAAGATGATATTAATAATATATTACTTATGAAATAAATGATAATTTATGAATATCTTAACCCTTTGCAATCACAGAACTTTCATGAAATTCTGTAATTATTACATTTACAAAAAATGACCTGTCACCAAAATACTATATAACTACCAAAATCAACTACCCCATCAGTAACAAAATCAAACAGTTCAAATACTGGAAGTAAACCTCTCTAGTATACCAGAATTTATAGGGTATTATAAAAACATGTAATTTAAGAATTGGCGCTTATGGATCATCCCTATCCAAAATCCTGCCACATAGAAAATAATGTTAAACTAATATCTCTATTGCTCTCTACTGTCTTTCACACCTTTAAAACAAAAAATACATAAAAACAAAATTTAAAATTGGAAAGGGAGAAAAGTTACATTTAGTTTTCAGAAGTAAATCCAGGGATTTTCATCTTAAGGAAAACCCGAAGAGATACAAGATTGAGAAACAGTTTGTAGATTTGAAAAAAATATATTTAATAAATTAAGATGCCACTATTTTGCTCAATAATTAAGTGAAAACAACTTCAATTTTAAGGGAATGTTGCAGGACATTACTTAAATATCTAATTTCGGAGAACAGACTTCATACACAAAAAGCACTACCTTTGATACATTGTAGATGTAGGAAGATTCCCAAGAAATTTCAAATTGCAAGTTTCAAAACTGCATTTAACAAAAATGGGACTTACATCATTTTAACATTTTAATAAGCATGTTTTGCTATATGGGGGGGGGGGGCTTTTAGAGGAAATTTTGAAAATGCTTTCGCAATCAACACATCAGCAACATTCATTGGGGAATTTCAAATTTGTTGAACACCGTCCTGTAAACGGCTTAGGCACTAGCATAGTTCACAGACAGTTTGGCAGTAAATCAATGATTTCATTTCAAGGACTGAAAAGGTGGATTTTAACTACACAACATGTTAGAGAAACTAATTAACTATTTAAGGAGTAAGAATTATGTACTTTTCCTGAATAAGGAAATCCATAAAACTTTTTTCTGGCAAAAACAACAGTTTTTTATTGCAGCATTACAAAACTATTTTTACGTAGTATGCAAGAAAGAAAAAAAAATTAAAAGGGGACATAATCTTCAACAAATAATGTTCTTTCGTGAAAATTGTTCATTAATACTTCATACTACAATACCCGACTTTGCTTGGTTAATTTATTTATCACAATTACTATGAATTCTTCTTTGCCCTCCTCCTGCTTTGCTTACCTCTGGCAACAATGTGGCTTAAACGCTTTGAAAATTTCGCATGGATGACTTCTAGGAACATTTTGTGATATACACAAATTTGAGGTAACATTTAACAAATGTAATTCCCTGCATTTTTCCTCTTGAAATTGTTAAGAGCAATTGCTGCAGCAGTATTTACTTGGCTTTTTATTCTAGCAATGTACGTTCATAATTTAAAAAATTTTAGACTTAATAGAGTTGAACACAATACGCTTCTGGTATCAGTAGAAGAACTTTTTAAAAAGTTTCAGCATTTCATTACATAATTAGGTTTAACCATAGTCAGCCTTATTAATCATGTCACTTTACTGACAGGGTGGCTAATGTACAGGAGAATTTGCGGAAGACGGTTTAAACCGGCACATCGCACCGCTCCGGTAGCAACTGCCTAGTTTGAATTCTGGAGGCTTTCTTGAAAAATGATGTCTTATAAAATTGGATTGGTAATTATGATGTGGATAAACTCAAGGATATTTATGTGAATGCAAGGGGCGAGGGCCGAAGGCTCGAGCCTCTCCTGACTTGGATCTGGGCAAGTGTAGCACGAAAACTTGCCTTTGAAAATAAATTGACGTTACAATGTGGCGGGGACAAAGGGTATTAAGGGCAAGACATGAAAATCACCTTTCCATAATTTTTATATAAGCATAATTAGTAGACACCTTCCCCCACCCCGCTCCTGTGAAAATGTGCCCTATTTCAGGGGACAGGATAGTGATTCACAGCATATCATGATTGTAGGCGATTTGAAGCCACTTTAAATAAATACCATATGTTCTAGAATACTTTGAGATTTGATTCAAATGGGGCCAATTGATATGTCTAGTTCAGAGAAATCAAATCAGGCACTGACCTTTCAGAGACCGGAAAAATATGTAGTATGACACGTCACAATATGAATGTAAATATGTAATTAAAATAGTAAGAATATATAATAAATATGTAAAATTGGATATAATATGCAAAAGTAAAATACACTACTTTTAAATACATTTTCATGTTATATTAATACACAATTTCCTAAACAAGTTTTAAAAATAATAGAAAGATTTTAAAAATGATTTGGAGCGTCCAAGTTGATAAAAACTT